TGGCATACTTGGCTGCTGCGCTATCTCTAAGTATAGCTCTGTTGCACTTTATTAGCAATGTATAAAACCACCTGACCACCTATAAGCTCCCAACTTCACCTAGCTCGTAGCTCGCCTCACCTTTATTTTCTGCTAATTGTCTGAAAATCTCATTTTTCTATTTTTGAAAAAAGCACGCTGAGTGGTTTTAAACTACTGTCCTTGCGAGCCTGTGCCGGATTAGGGCCTTGAATCACCCTTTTTTTCACGCGTTTGTTTTCTCCTAACTTCTTCCTGTCACGCTACATATTGACATTGTGGGTTTCAAAATGTCCGCAATGACGAATTTTTGCTGATTTTGAGTGTTCGCACTCCTACTTTGATGGTTTCTGTAAACTCAGGAGTTACGCGCACTTGTATTCTGACTAATCAGCTACTTCCATGTGATTCTTACGTTGAGCGTATCCGTCGCGGTTGGTTGGAGTGCATGAAAACCGAACGCGAAAAGTTTCTAGCTGCGAAAGAATGGACAGGCGCTGCCTTTAAGGCTGTATGCTGATTTGCTGACGTTTTGGGGTAGTAAATTAAAACACTCTGGTAAATAGACTTAGAAGCAGACAGTGGCCCTCAGACGGGAGTCAGCTATACGTATTAGTAATTACATCATTGGTTAGACCAATAACGCAAAATAAAGGAGGGAACGTAAGGAGCGAATTATTTCTAGTTCTAAGAAAGTGGCGAAAGGAAAAAAGTTAGTAAAGAAAAGTAATGTCGTGTTCGCATCACTCACCACAAGGGTTCAGCTTGAATTTCTAGACTCCGACGGCTCTTGGTACCAACTTTCGTACACAAAGATAAATCCACGCGACACGTTCAGCTCGCACGTGCTTCTAGGTATTGGCCTAGGTTTGGGGAACTGGTGCTGGTGGGCGCCAATGCTTTAGGATAAATATTTTAAATTTGCCTGTTTGTTTAGCGCAGTGTACAATTGTATTAGAAGTTGGAGGTAACGTAGCGTAGGACTTTAATCAAATAGTAATACAAATATACTTAGGGTAATTATGCTCGTTAAACAGATGCAAGGCAAAAAGCTAGTAACAGTGCACAACATATCCTTTTCACGTTTAACTGTTCGCAAAGTGATGTGGTAAAAAGGTTACCAAAGATAAGTGCCCAAGAAAAATAGCAACAGCCTCATTTACTAAATCTACGCTTGTTGTTTCAAGCTCTCTACCACCGTATATGTATACGTATTTATATATATGAAAACGCAAGAAAGAAAAAACAATCTCAGAAAAAGACTCCCGTCCGCGGAATTGAATGTGAGACCTCCACGTCGTGAATGCGAGGTGTTAACTACTGAACCACCGAGAGGTACCTCCTTCAACGTTCAAATGGCAAGCTATTATTATCTACCACTTACCGCTGTTGTCGGGTATCTCGGAGGGGAACTATAGTGTTTTCAGCATTATCAGCAAGATGGCGCAGAAAGCACGCGGCGGCTCTCATCTCTCACGCGTACTTTGGCCTGCGTAGAGAATAGGGGGGTGTACGCTCGATCGCGTTCCCTTTCTTGAAGTGAGGAGAATCGTACGTCTTGGCTAGCCTTTGAGTTTCATCCGAACGATTTTGTTACTGGGCGCACAAAGGTCACTGCGATCGTTGCACAGCCTCCTTTTCCGAAAAGGGCGCGCTTTTCAGACACAGCGAAGTAACAACTGAGACGCTTATTCACGTAAACTGTACCTGAAAGTACGTTTCGTGCGTTCTTAGTGCGTGAGAAACTAGGGGCACGTTTTGATCTGCTTGCCATTCTGCAGGAGACCTTCCGATTCGTTGCTATCGCGTTCACTGCTTCGCCTTTGCGGCAAAGCTGTGACTTTTTTTTTCTTCGAACGCGCGGCTTACTTCCAGTGTGAACGCGAGCAAGCATGCTGGCACGCAGCGGCATCTCGTGGCAACCGTGGGGGCTAAACAGCTCAAGTGGCCGTATACCTTGAGCTTATGGCGCAACCATTCGGGTTTAAGGCATTATTTATCGAGAGAATAGCGAACGACTTCTAACCTACTTTGAGAATTATCTTTGATTTCCAGGCCCCGTGCTACACTATAATGCTTGGCTTGCATGTTCACACAAGCCTCGACTACCGATCTACGGCGTTTTCTGACCATGCTCAGATCTTTCAGGGCTCAGGGCTCCATTAGATGCTTCTTTTTCCTAGCTCACGTAAGCCGGCCGCACATTTATAGTGCCACGTGGCCGAGAGACATTCAGACCGGAAAGGCTGTCGAAGTCAAATAGCTAGTGCAACGTCTTGGCTATACCTTGGCAAGTGACTGGAAAGCTGTGTCGTCAAAATTTTTCGTTTAGGTCATTCCACTTATACTTGGGCACGCTCTAATAAACCCAACATATTATGAAATTAAGTGGCTATAGGCTACTCTCTTGCAGCTAATCTACGCCGTTTAACTGCGGGAAGTGATCATACCACGCTAATGAAAAATAGGTAAAATCGACGCGATTCTCCAAACTGCGGCGTCCCTCATGCCAACTGTGCCCTTTTCTGACATAGAATACCACAGTTATTAATATACGCGGAAACCACTCCGGTGACCCGCAATCAGCGTGTTAGAGTGCATCCCTGCCATTTTCGAATAAAATTAGCGGTTGCGTCAACGCGCCACATCTCGAACAATTCACGTCATGTCACCTTTCTGGCGGCAGCCGCAACCACGATGTAGTGCTAACGTTTTTCGACACGTAGCTTCTTCTCACAACTAGTCATGCGGACATTTTCTATGCTCATCGATTTTAAACGCTCAGCTTCAATAGTAAAATAAATTTAGCGAGACTGTGCCAAAAAAAGAATCACTCACTATTGGTGGTTGCGCCATCACCACGGTTGCCATAGCCACGACACGACACTACTCAGTGAAGATATCAGACATGTTTTCGCAGTGAATGCCGCCTTATGCGCTAGTTCTGTATAATGTTTGTACATTTTTTATTCCAAATTTTCATCTCTTCGAGTACTTCGGGTTATGACAAACCAAATTTCAGCTATTGTTCTACTTCTAACAGTGCACGGACTCTTAAAGACGCCGCATTGAAGAATTCCGAATCAATTGTGTCCTTGTACACAATTTCGAATTAATTTTGTCCTCTAGAACTCCCCTCATTCCTGCTTGAGTGACAGCTTGTAGCTATTCTCGTGATGTCAAATCGAAATTGGAAATGCCCCGTGGTACTATTGATATAATGCGATGCCGTGCTTTGCAGTATATCAATAAATGGATGGATGGGGCATAATTATTTCTATTTAATAATTGTTGCGGTGAACTTGATATACAAAGTATTTTTTCGTTGAGGTGTTGCACCTCAGTAGTATATTTGAAAAAAAAATCATCACCTAATGGCCAACACGTTTCCTGAGCTTGTGGTAACGATGGATATTAAAGATGACTGCTACTTTCATGTA